GTGAGGAAGAGGAGGGGGTGGTGAGGAAGAAGAGATGGCGGTGAGGAAGAGGAGGGTTCCAGCACGGCAGCCCAGCACGCCTTCCTCCCCAGGCAGGTTCTGTGGGAACAAGCTGCCCGAGCCCATCATCTCCACCGACAGCCGCCTCTGGGTGGAGTTTCGGAGCAGCAGCAACTGGGTGGGCAAAGGTTTCTTCGCCGTCTACGAAGGTAGGGGGGAGCAGTGGGGCCCAGGGGTCGGCGGGGGGCCTGGGGGGGCTCAGGCTGCTGCTCCTCCCTTCCAGCCATCTGCGGGGGGGACGTGAAGAAGGACAACGGCCACATCCAGTCCCCAAATTACCCCGATGATTATCGGCCCAGCAAGGTGTGCGTCTGGAAAATCACCGTGTCCGAGGGCTACCACGTGGGATTGACCTTCCAGTCCTTCGAGGTGGGTCCGTGTCCCCCCGAGGATGGGGAGGGGTCATCTCCTTATCCCAGGGCTCCCCCAAGATGGGCTTGGGGCTGCTGCATCCCTCCGCACCGCCTCCGTGCCTCAGTTTCCCCACACAACAGGGGCAGGAAGGGTTTGGGGGTGCCAGGACAAAGCTGCCCCTGTTCTACCACCCCCCACCAGATCGAGCGTCACGACAGCTGCGCCTACGACTACCTGGAGATCCGGGATGGGAGCAGCGACTCGAGCAGCCTCATCGGCCGCTACTGCGGCTACGACAAACCCGACGACATCAAGAGCACCTCCAACAAGCTCTGGATGAAATTTGTCTCCGACGGCTCCATCAACAAGGCCGGCTTCGCCGTCAACTTCTTCAAAGGTTTGGGGGCTGCTCCGGGGGGTGCTGGGGGTGGTCGCAGCCCCCTGGCCGCTCACCCCCCGTGCCCTGCCCAGAGATGGACGAGTGCTCCCGGCCCAACAACGGCGGCTGCGAGCAGCGCTGCGTCAACACCCTGGGCAGCTACAAGTGTGCCTGCGACCCTGGCTACGAGCTGGCGTCCGACAAGCGCCGCTGCGAGGGTGAGTGTCCCCTGAGACCTCCCAAACCACCCCCCAGCGGCCCTTGCGGTGTCCCCAGCCCTGTGGAGGTGACTGGGTGGTCCCGCCCTGCAGCCGCCTGCGGAGGTTTCCTCACCAAGCTCAACGGCTCCATCACCAGCCCGGGCTGGCCCAAGGAGTACCCCCCGAACAAGAACTGCATCTGGCAGCTGGTGGCCCCCACCCAGTACCGCATCTCCCTCCAGTTCGACTTTTTTGAGACCGAGGGCAACGATGTGAGTCGCGGGGAGCAGCCCCTCTCTGCCGCTGGTGGCCCCCGGGGTGGCACCGCCGCATGCCCAGCCCCGTGTCACCCCCCCAGGTGTGCAAATACGACTTTGTGGAGGTGCGCAGCGGGCTCACAGCCGACTCCAAGCTGCACGGGAAGTTCTGCGGAGCCGAGAAGCCCGACGTCATCACCTCCCAGTACAACAACATGAGGATCGAGTTCAAGTCCGACAACACCGTCTCCAAAAAGGGCTTCAAAGCCCATTTCTTCTCAGGTAGAGCTGCCCGCCCCCAGAATGGGCGTCCCCTGCCCTCCCTCACCCAGCCCAGCC